CCTTAGGAATCACAAAGGCCCGAAAAATAAGAAAATTGGAAGATGACTCGCTTCAGCCAACACAGGTCGTGTCAGCTGACACGGACGACCGTGTTGGCCCCTTGGATATCTGATGTAAAAATTGTCTGCTCTAGACTTGTTGACGTGGTCCGTGTCAGGTGACATGGGCACCCGTGTCAGCCCACTGTCTAAATCTCTGTTTTATTTCTCTTGGTACCCTCCTAACACGGGCCGTGTCAGGTGGCACGGATGGTCGTGTCAGGCCACTGTTCCCCTTCAGAAACTCTTCTGATTTCCTGCTGTCTTCCCCGGTTTTTGCTCTGATTCTTCTTGATTGCTTACCTAAACCTGAGAACAATGGAAATATCAAATCAATGTATAAAATGCGATAAAAGGAAATAAAATGCAACTAAACACATAAGACAATTAACTAAAACTCATGGTAAAATAACGTATAAAAATGACTGATCAAAAGTTAACAATTATGATAAAAGTTAACACATGGAAAAAGTCAACATTATTGGTAAAAGTCAACATTGGTCAGAGCACGGTTAACAGTATTGAAATGATCAAAGTTAATCAATAGTCAATTATGACTCACAAACCAAAAATATAAAGATTAACGGAGAATCTTTGAACCATTAAGTAAAATGAAATCTAAGGTGGACTAGATGGATCTCTTTATGGTGTATCATATGAATTTAGCTTGAGCCAGAAAAGAAAAAAAAAGAAAGAAAATGGAAAAAGAGTGGGAAAAATTGGGTTATGACAATTAATTTTCAGAAATGATAACTCTACACACTAGACTCACATTATTTCCACCCTTCTTCCTATCAATGACTTTACATTTTATCGTGACGTATGCGTACAACTTATTTAGAGAAATTCCAATAACTTTCTACTCATGAAAGAAGTATTCAATAATAAAATTGGTCTCTTACATCTTATTCTCATCAAAATTAAAATTAAAGATCATTACTTTTTAGAAACGCTAACTCTACGCACTAGACCCATGTTATTCTCACTCTTCCTATCAGTGAATTGACATTTTATGGTGATATATGAATACAAATTATTTAGAGAAATTTAAATAACTTTCTATATATGAAAGAAATATTTAATAATAAAATTGTTTTCTTGCCTCTTATCATCAAAATTAAAATTAAAGATCATTACTTTTCAAATACATTAACTCTACACACTAGACTCACGTTATTCACGCCTTTCTTCCTTTCAGTGACTTGACATTTTATCGTGACATATGTGTACAACTCAGAAAATTAATGTTATTCATAAATATGACAAATCGACACTCCATGAAAAGGAGTTACGCCAACCCAAATTGTGAAAATTGACAAATATATCAATTACTTGTATAATGGGGTTCATGGGCTTAACCTTCTAAAAACTCTCAAGCATTAGTAATGGAGAAAGGAAGAAGCTTTAAGCGAAGAGCTACAACTATTCTGGTAAATACTCTCAGGATGAAAGAGAGGAATACACTTACTAAAAAGAAACACTTGTGAATGGAAACTAAATTTCAAGGTTTGCAAAAATTTTCCTCTGTGCTCAACCACCCATATATATAAGCGAATGTGATTAAAGGAACCATATTGGTGACAAAGAGAATTTATAAAATCAAAGGCTGGATTTTTCATGGGAAATGTAAATAAAATCGAGTGCACCATAAGCAGCGCCATGCTCTAACTAGTCACTTCAGCTCATATGTCAAGAAGAAGCAACGGAACGTTTCAATGATGAGAATGCATTTAATGCGCTTGTTCCCCACTACCGTTTCAACTGACTCAAAGTGTTTCCCCTTCTACCTTTTCCTGTAGTACTCAAAGTGAATGATATCATCAAAGGATAAACATGATCACTAAAGACTTTCTCGGATCTATAAGCACCCGATAAGTCTTGAAGGCAACTACTTTGGGTCGGCCAAAAGCCCATATTTATGCCAATCTATCCCACATGACCCTAGGTGTAAAAGTCACTTCATACAAAATGCAAGATACATTTTTCTGATCTCCACTTTTCACTACACACATCTTAAATCTTGAACTCACTTGGGTGTTAGAGTGCTAACCTTGTAGGACCATCCCCGTGTCGATGTATCGAAGATCATAACCACTGATTTAGGCTTCTGCATCATCTGATTACATCCAATTTTGCTTCCATAATGAAACAAATGTCATAAAAAATTTCAAATGAAATAATGAAATGAAAAGAGTATTTTTACACATTTTATAGGAGTCTACTAACACCACTAGAATTTTACTGGAAAATGTAGGCGCGGTTCGAATCATGAAATAATGTGACTAAAGTCAAATGCACCAAAAACTATTCCAGGTGATAAATTTCAACATCTTGATTCGAATCACTTTTTTCATAATTCAAATCAACCCCAAATTCGGATCATTGAATTTGTTGATTCAAAACAACCTGACAATACAAAAGGTCAAAATGAACATGTTTCATAGGTGATTCAAATCATAATTTTTCTTGACTCAAATCATTATGAGCTAGGGCTATAATGGAATTTATAATTAAAATCGGTTATGTAAATCATAAAACTACATAATAGAATAAGCTTCACTTATTAATTTTATCTCTCATCAATCTTCTCTTATGTGTGTGGTCATATAGCTTCTTGTGATTTTGAAAATTATATTAAATCACATATTTAATATAATAAACAATGAGAAAAATTTAACAATACATCACTGCTACCAAAGTCACAAAAATATCATGTGATCTGATGAAACCTTTCTGTGATAATGTTTATGTATACAATTACTCTTTTCCCTCATGTCTATATTGAACATAAGGCATAGATTGTGTCACCTTTGTCCAATTAAATATTGAACCATTATACATTTATCATGTTTCGCAAGATGAGAAAATTCCATCTAGGTCACTCATGTCCCTCTGCATGATTTATGGAGTATCCATTAACCATATTTAGGAGAAATGAAAGTACTCAACTCCACGTCTAGGGTTCATTGTGCTTTCAGATTGAAGGGTGATATACACAACTATCACCTTGAGAAATAACTTATGATAATGCATAATATTCTACGTAGTATTATAATGGTGGGTCAATCCAATATAAATATTACTCTTTATATGTACATATGTGAATACTTGATAACTATTTATCCAAGATTTTGAGATGTGATCATTAGTTTATCCACATAATAGTCTCAATGTTTTAATGTTATTCAACTTCATAATAAAACTTGACTACCAATACTTTAAGAATAATGTTCTTATGTTTAATGGGGTATCAAGATTAAGTCACACTTAATACTTCATCAAACGAACTAGTTATTCTAGCGACTTTTTTACTTTGAAAAATTAAACATGATAAAAAATGTCTTATTATTATTATTAATACATAATTTGATACAAGTATCAAGTTCTCATAAAACTATTGATCTCTTGAGCTTACACTAACAATTTATACCCATTTAATATTTTAAACGATTTATTTTTGTTTCTTATTTTATATAGCTTATAGTTTATTCTTTCTTTTTTTTCCCTTATGTGACGCTTCACAATTAAATGTGTTAGCAATGGAAAAATATCATTTATTTGATTACTTTAAATGAAATATCGTTCCTTGATGCCATCAGAAATAGTTGATTGGTGGAGATTGTTGAAGTATATCTTAAAATTTTAAGTGATTAAGAGAAAGAAAACATATTTTAAGATTGTAGAAATCAGAGTAGAAGTCGATGAAGATGGCATGACGTAGAGTGAGACTCGTGGTAGAACTCGCACAATGGGAGGCTGACAGTAGAGTCGATGCGACAATGGGTCTGTATCCGGTGAGCAGTTTGATTCATCGAAACACGGGTCTAATTTTCTCGGTTCGTGTGTATTAAGCTTGGTTGTTTTAGTTCGCAGATCCATTTGTTTATGGATTATGTTTTTAATTTGTTATGGATCTGTTGAATTTCAACAATTATAAATATGTATCTCTTGTATGTTTATCATCACAAGTTTTAGAACTTTAGAGCTGAAGACATAGAGAAGGATTTGAGAATCTTAGAGGTAATGGTAAACTCCAAAAAGTTTGTTCTTGAAATTTGAGAAACCCTTGAATATATACAAGGGGGTTGAGAAACACTTCTAAATACATTGAACTTGTGTGATTCATATAGATAATTAGAAATATTATAAATCTTTTGGGTAAAAAATAGAATTTCTTCTTCGAAAATTGAATAACTATTTTCTTATAATTTATCTATAATTTTTTTAAAACTATTAAAAGTATAATGATTCGGAGAACTATTCACTCTCATAAAATAAATTGATTGATTGAACCGAGTAAACATATTATTGTATTTATTGTCTTTACTATGCCAATGTAAATTTATATCTTATTGCATAAGAGCTATTTTTAATAAATAATACGTATTAAATTTTTTTAATGTAATAGAACTAATAATTCTACTAAAATACTTTTAACTATTTTATCAATTTTATAATAATTTTAAATTTTAATTCATCTATTTTTATTTTAACAATTTGTGACAAACAATAAATGCAAGAAAAACATGATCCGAAATGTTTGCTTTTATTCTACAGTTTACTCCTGACTTGTCTTTCATTCTGCTAAAATTTAATATCAAACTTCATCAAATGTTAACACATTCATACATAGATGACAAATCAACTCTCCTCCAAGACCAAAATTCCAACCATTAAAATAACATTGATTGCAGTTGCTCCTTTGATCCAAATTGCTAAATAAACAAATATTATACAATGACTTGTGATAGTAAAATTCAAGTTAACGTAGTAATTATCCTATCCATGTCATTTTATTATTGATTGAAAACTAATTTGTCAGAAAAATGTGCTACAAATTGTAATTACAACCATAAGTACAAATTTATCTTCAATTTTGTTTTCACTCTCCAAATTAAGAAGCCTATAAAATATGTTTCTATGGAGAAGCATGTAGAATGTAGAACAACAACATTGTCAACATGGCCAGCACAACACTAGTGAGTCTCATCTCAGTATTCTTGCTTTGCATTACAATAGCCCAAGGGAGAAAAACACTTCACACTAGCCATGAATTTTCAACATCATCTCTGGTTAGCCATGATGCCGGTATCTGCAAAACTATGGTAGAGACACAAGGTTACGCATGTGAAGAACATAAGGTAAATAAATCATAGCATGTAACTATATAATATATGCTACAAACTTAAATCATAGATTTAATTAAAAGCAATTTTTTTGATGACTCAGGTTACAACACAGGATGGCTTCATCCTCAGCTTGCAGAGATTACCAGCGAGGCGGTCCGGCGAGAAAGTAAACAAACCACCTGTGATATTACAACATGGTCTCTTTTCTGTAAGTTTTGCTGTTGCAAATACATAACCAAATTATTACACTGTTGTATATGCATAGTTAACATGTTTGACTCCTATGATTAATTTCAGGATGCTGTAATATGGCTGTTCAACTCTCCAGAAGAATCATTGGGATTTATTTTAGCAGATAGTGGATTTGACGTGTGGCTTTTCAATGGTCGTGGCACAAAATATAGCTCCATGCACACATCATTAACTCCTAATGACATGGTTCTAATTTCAGACTTTCACAGGTTAATTTTAGATTTATCTCTAATAGATTATTGATTTATTAATGATTATGTGTTTTTAGGCTTATTGGGATTGGTCATGGGATGAATTAGCTAGTTATGATCTTCCTGCTTCAGTTGAATATGTTTACAACTACACCGGTCAAAAAATGCACTATGCAGGCCATTCTCAAGTGAGTAATTAATTAATTAATCCTTATTTTTCTTATGTTTATAATTAGTGTATTGTAACAATTAATGATGTAAATGTTTCAGGGAACTTTAATGGCGTTTGCTGCTTTATCACAAGGAAAACTTGTAGATATGTTGAGATCAGTTGCATTACTTAGTCCAATTGCTCATATGAATCAAATTTCTTCAATTGGAACAAAACTTGCTGCTGACCTATTTATAGCTAATGTAAGTGAGACAGAAAAAAAGACTATACTACTATATTTAGCTCAAATTTGTATTAAAATACAAATTTAATTTATAATGTTTTTATATTGTCAAAGAATACAATATTCACTGTATAAATATTTTTACATTTAATGTATATGAAAATTATTTTTCTAAAATATATTTTTTTTAATCGTAACAGGATATATATTGGTTAGGCATCCGGGAATTCAATCCTAATGTGTAAGAGAATAAAAAATCCTTTATTTTTTTTTCTACGTTTCTTGAATATGTTTGAGTGCAAATGAAAACTGTAAATTAAAATTGGAAATGATTTATTTGATGTTTTTCCAATGAGCAGCGATGTTGGAGCAAAGTTTTTGGAAGGCATATGCAACACTCTACACATCAATTGTGCAAACCTGATGTCGGTTTTCACAGGTACTTCAGATCTTACTCATAAGCAAAATTCACTTAACTTTTATGTATCATATACCATAATAATTGATTTTATTTCGGTATTCCTTAACTACCTTTATATTTATAGGTCCAAATTGTTGCATAAATTCTTCTAGGATAGATGTTTATCTTGATCATGAACCACAGCCAACATCAACCAAAAACTTGATCCATTTTTCTCAAAGTAAGTCTACAAAGAATCAACATTTTAACTTTTATGCATTTCAGATAAGGACTAATAGTTTCTTTTTTTCATGGCTGTTGAATGATGGAATTTGAGTAGTGATAAGAACAGGAAATATAGCAAAGTATGATTATGATGATCAAGCACAAAATGTACAACACTATGGTCAACGAGTTCCTCCAACTTACGATTTGACCAAAATCCCAAATGAATTACCACTTTTTCTTGGCTATGGAGGAAAAGATACGCTAGCTGATGTACAAGATGTGAAGGTTTTGCTCAATGACCTCCAAGATCATGATGCTAACAAGCTTGTGGCACTGTTCAATGAAGATTATGCACATATTGATTTTATTATGGGTGTCACTGCTAAACAAGTCGTTTATGACCCCATGATAGCTTTTTTCAATGGTTATTGATTTGTATTAACGAATATTGTTCAATGAAAATAGAGTGTGTTTGATTTTTCTTTCTATATTTAATCACAAAATTTGTCTTCTATTGACCATAATTGTCTTCTATTGATTTATTTTTTTGGTTTAAGAAAATACTACTCTGCAAAGTAAAACTAATATATAACATGTTCCAAGTTTGAAAGGTTAATCCACTACGAATCAATTTAAGTCAAAAACATGATTTTACACCGTTACAATTTATGTCAAAAGTCTTATTTTTTACCCCAGTTTTGAATCTGGAGTTAAACCAAAAATCAACATTTTTCATAGATATGAATTATACCAAAATTACAATGTAATAAACTAGAGGACCAAAAACTCAAATTTTAAAATAGGTAGAGACTAAATTTAATGAGCTAAAAAAAGACTACAAAATATGCATTTAAATCTAATATAATTAATTTACAACAAAATAAAAGTATACTGTAGTAACAAATAACAAGGGGGAAAATTGGGATAGCCCCACGGGAATTTCCTAAGAACTAAGCTGACATTACCACTGATACTGCTTCGATAGGCACAGCAAGTAGTCAAGCTAGTTCAAGAGTATTTGTATATTAGAGCAATGCGTTCAGCCCCATATTTGAGGCTTCTACCATAAACTTGAAGAAAAATATCAGGCTTTAAAGGATGGATTCAATCTACCATGAAACCTGGATTACCAGATTATACCTACTTGGAAGCTATAAAACTCTGAGAACAAATGTTAAAAGCTTATGATATTTCACATTCTTGTTTTTCTCCTATTGTATTGTCAGGAACAAAATGCAATTGCAAACTGTCCAACCAACTTATTAGTGAATTACTTTTGATAAACTTTTTCAATCAGTATATATAAAATAAACTGTTTCAACAACCAGAGGTTGAAAGAAAAAACAATGACAAGCATCTTTGGATCAAATAAAGCTACTTATCAAACAACTTAAATCAACTCAAACTTGTCCTAAAACCTTTAACTGGTGGTTCAGCTGAATAACAAAGCCATTCTTTTTCTTATTGTAGGGATCACCTATATACACATTGATGACCTAAAACCTTTAACTGGTGGTTCAGCTGAATAACAAAGCCATTCTTTTTCTTATTGTAGGGATCACCTATATACACATTGATGACGATGAGACCAAGAGTTTTCTGAGAGTTTTCAAGAGTTAACAACTTTGACTCTGATTGAACCAGAGTGTGGAAAGAATAGCTTATTTTTAGCCCTTCCAAAATAGTACTAAACTATACCAAAATATCATTTACTTGACCGGGTTCATTCATGAAATTAATAACCCAATGACCCCAATCATCTCTAATGAAAACACTGCCTAAGTTTTCTTAGTAATAGGACTATGAATACCTTCAAAATAAACTTGAGGAGATTTTAGAACAAGGATCATCTAGATTGTGGAAGTAGATTACTGGCTAAAGGTAAAGTAGGTTATTAAGCAATAAACGCTTACAAATCTATTCAGGTCAAGAAGAACATTCTTAAGGTAAACCAACTGACCGGCATGATTTAAGTTTATCAGAAACCCATTATGGTACCTCCCTTGAAATTCCTTTTGCATATCCAGATAAACTTCCGATTCACTAAAGGTTGAGTTGGTCTGTTTCTGCAGCATAACTATTCAACCTATATTATCATTCCAACACAAAGGACATACATAGTAAAGTTCTGGATCCTTTGATCTTTCTAACCTGCATATATTTGAGTGGGAATCATTCATTTCTATATGTATTGCATCAGCCAACAGAAGACTGTGTTTCAGCTCTTTAAAGATAAGAAATGAACAAAACAGTAACCAATTACATACTTTGAGGCTAACCAGGTAGGAATCAAAGCACCTATTATCTCTATCCCTTTCTCAAACTGTGTCACCAAACTCTCAGGTATCAACCAAATAGAAAAAACGTTACATCACATCCCTCATGCCGTGGAGATCAGAATTTAGCATGTCAATCTACTAAACATCCAACTCTACCTACCACTATACCTACAACTTTAGGGCACAGGTGGAATTCCCTTTTTTTCTTCTACACATTTCTTGATACAATCAATTGTATCAGTTGGCAGCAGTTAGAAATGAATGATGCCACGTATAAACCAAAATGACATTACCACTTATAATGTAACACACAAACTCAGCAAGTATCATGTCATATAAAAGTCAGCATCACATCATAAAAAATCAAGTCCGTTGCAATAAGCTCTTACAAACTGCCAAAGGCTTGACACCTTCAAATTTAGATAATCTAAACAATAAAGTGGCATGAAAATGCTGCTTCTGGTTCAGCTCTTTACAAGTGTTTTTTTAATATATTTTGGGGCAAAACTATCTAAGGATGAAGAATAGATAGAAAAAAGATCAAATGTTGATGGATCTTTTAATGCAATGACTGCATCAAATCATGGTCCAAAATTTACCCTACAAAAATCAAAAAGCCACTTCTTGCAATCTTCATCAAATCAAATTACTCTCATTATTAATACCATTATCAAGTCTAATCCGCAAGCACAAAAACAAACAATCCACTAGTTACTTATCCGCTTCTCTTCAAATTCTGTAACTTTCACAAATACAAACACCTTAACATTGCAACTATTCCTATAAAACCGGTGAATCAATAAAACTTAAACTTTCACTACCAAATTATCGCAATCAACAAAGGAAAGTTGATAACTAAGCATATAGCATAGATCAAAGGGTTTGCTAATTTCAAAACCCCCTTGTTATTTTTCCACTTTTAGTTCTCATTTCATCAATAATCACAAAAACCAACAGAGTAAAAATGTAATCTAACTCATTGTTATTGTAGTTCTTATAAAAATCATCAATCAACAGTAAACAATACAACACATACCAAAACGCAAGTTCATTCATACACCAGTCTTCAAAATGTTCCTCCTAGCCAAGAACCTCGCGATTGGGGGCGTGAGTGCTATAGTGATAGGAACCCGAACAGGGATCAGAGCCTTGTTGCAGAGTAAAGCTAGGGTGAAAGCACCGCCTGCCGAAGCCGCCATCTGTGCCGTGCGGCTCTTAACTGGCACCGCGGAAGAGTCTGTATCAGAGTTAGGGTTAGCGTTTTCCTCCGGGGAAGCGGCGCCCAAATGGAACTTCTCGAGGATGGCTTCTACGTCCACGTTGTTTCTAATAGCGACGTAGAGGCCGGTGACGGAAGCTGCTGAAACGGAACAGTGAACGCCGATCGCTACTTTACCGTACTTTTTCAGGAGCTCGCGGAATCGACCACCGGCCATTTTCTGATTATTTGTCGGCGTTTGAATTTTCAAGATGGTACTGGAGAAATTGGTGTTGTCTGAGCTGTATTGATTGAGCGGTGTTGACGGTGGAGCCGGCGGTGCGGGCCGCGGTGAGTAGTGTAGTCGCTAGTTCTGGCTTTAGGGTTTATCTTAGCAAGCAGTTGTGTAGTGTTTTTAGTAAGAAATTCAATCGAGATGAGTAATTACTACCTCCGTCTCACCTCTTTCTCATAAAAATGTCTTATTTGAATAGTTCTTAAAAAAAAATTAAATATACTAATTTTAATTTATTAAAATATTTTTAGTTATTATAATTTGTAAAATAGTTGAAAAAGTTAAAAATTAAATAAATAGAAATACAACGGTAGAAAAAAGTTATAAATATTATATTGAAATTCTAAAACAATATTTTATTTTGAAATATAAAAGAAAATGCAAATAAAACACTTTTTTATAAGAGGGAGAAAGGGTATATATTAAAATGATAATTCTTTTTTTAAGATCTCAAATTAGTCCTTCTAATTGAATTTAGGATCCATAATACTAGTTAAACCACACTTTAATGAATTAATATAGATATATAGATATATACTTTGTAGAATTTGTGCATTCAACTCTTTTGGGAGTTTAAAATGTTGTTTTTTCACACAAATTCTCTATCTTAATTATTTTACATGTCCTTAAGAAATTATCAAAATTTATACTAAATTATTTTTAAAAATTATATAAATTGAGGTCATTTCGAATTAGTTATTCATAATTATTTTAGCCAACAATGATAATAACTTGCTTTTTAATAAGATGCCTCTTTTTTAGATTATTGATTATCATGTTTCGGTCATTTTATATTTTATGTAAATTAAAAAATGTAATTAATATTATATGGAAATTAAAAAATTATATATGATTTCACACTATTGTTCTTCATTTATTATATGTTAAAGAGAAATTTAAAGAAATTGAAGAAGGAAAAATAATAAATTATAGAGGGTATATTAAAAAAATATCATTAGTGTTATAGTGGAAGTGTAAAGTGACTTATAAATTGAAATAAAAACTATTTTGCAAAATGGCTTATAACCTAAGACAATAGAGGGACTAATTTCCAAGAAAGTTACAAAAATATGTTAGATTAACAATCCATGGAATCACATGTCTAGTCACCGTGAGAATAAACATGTAACTCTAATGCATCCACACACTTCTTAGAGTCATCTTTGTCTTTCCTTTACATGCCACCTTTTCATCTCTAATGATATAGGGGAAAATTACGTTCACCTTCCGTATGATTTGATAAAATAACAATGACACCCTTCTAATTTTAAAATATGCATTAATCTCCCTTAAACTTACATATATCTCATGAAAGTTTAGTGATAAGCAAAAAACCATTCGTAGATGCCATCTCTGCTTAAGGTTTTTGACTGTCACTAAAAAACTAAAGAGGGTGTTAGTGTCATATAATTATAATTCATGAAATTTTAGGGCATATTTTAAAACTAGAGGGGGTGTTAATATCATTTTAATAGACCTTAGGGAAAGTGATTGTAATTTCTCCAAAAGAATAAACATGGGTGAGATAAATAAATCTCAATGGAGTTCTTACTATCTTCATAAGTGCTCTCAGTGGTCAACTATGTCATATATGACTCATTACCATTATTGATATAGAATTCATAAGAATATTGGAGATGCTCAACATCTCGAAGGGAATCTAAAATGTAATCAATCTTATACACTAGAGACAAAAATGTGTTATCACATACACCTATATAACCCGCATAACATAATTGTAATGGTCCCCACATTTGAGTTTAGTTTGCACGATCATCAAGATCCTACTACAACTCGTGAGACTCTTGTTTTTCTTCTGGCTTATACATCTTATATATGCAGTGAGAAATTATCCTTCTTTATCTGTATTTAATTGATTCATCATCCTTTTATACGATAGTAAAAGGTTAATCATATAACCATTGTATGATGTTTACTCAATTTGTACGCAAGTTGGAACTTACTACCTAAGACGTACCTACCTGATTACTCTAATAATTTAGAGTTTAATTCAAGCCCTCTCTAAACTTTCCTATCTTTCATTCTCCCCAGTGCATATCTAATCATCCAATTTTAACCTTTTGAATCTTATTTCTTGATTGTATTCTTCTCACATAGATCTTACCATTTCTTAAATACACAAAAAAGGGAATTGAATACAAGTAATGCAAGAATGGTGTGGGAACTGGGCCTATTACCGCCTAGTCGTAATGTGGGTTATGGCTCGGAATGTGCCTAGGTGACTTCCTAGTAACTTTTATCAAAGGCTAATGCGGATTAGCTATAATATAGGCTACAACCTGTAATGTGTGTATGTCTCATCTTCATCTTCTTCCTCACGTTGTACATGCAACTAGAAGATTCCTAGCATCATCCTCACTAATATGCATCGCTCAAGGGTGTTTCTACTCATTAATTTAGTGTTAAATCAAGAGAGTAACAAAACTCTACCAAGAAATTTACATGAAACTTCATCAATGATTACCACATGCAAGATTTCTAAGTTGGTCTACATGAGATTAAAAGCCTAAAGAGCTCCACATTTGCTCTTTGTTCTGTCTTTAAGAGGAAAATGATGAGAATAGATGAACATGTCTAGATGCTTTCACACTCTTCCTTCATGCTTTTAATTCTTCTCATATCACTTGTAAGAGCTTGGAGTTGCTTTCTTCCTCTCCTCCACTATAACCCTCCCGTGAACTGCCCTTATGTTAGGATACTAAAATGGTGAACCTAAAAGCTATAAATTTCTAAACTATGAAGAAGATAAATAAAACTAAGAGAGATAAAAATAAACTAATAAAATTAAACTTTCATTTGATTTCATTGATACCCTAGAATGTGTCAAAGACACTACATATATAATGCTCATAATGGATAATGAATTAAAAGTTCAAATACAACAATAGCCCAATAATAATACTAATAACTAATAATATAAATTCTAAATTATATTTTATTCCTCTATCATTGTCGCCGGGTTCACTTGAACCTTGTCATCAAGGTTCTAAAAATATGATTGAAATAGAAAATATTATCCAATTTAAAAATACACTAATATATTAACTAATGAACCTAAATTTGTGAAAAATAATACTAGGAGTGAAAAATAGTGTCATGGAAGGTTGAAAATATTGACACGTTTTTTTTTTGGTTATGGATAAGGAAAAAAAAACATACATAAGAGAGAGAAAGTCGAGGGAGAGTACTACACTAGCAAGTCATGGTTGGATAAAAAAGAATTAGATAGTGGAAGACTTCATTATTATACCAATGAGAGAGATCATTGATATGCTAAACCATTTTTTCCCTTTCTTTTCTCTCTCGGGTCTTTTTTTTCCCCTCTCCTTCTTTTCATTCCATATATTTACTTATTCTCTTCCACTTTTCCTTCTTTCTTTTGTTCTTCTTCATCTTTTTTCACTTTTTTCTCTCTCTTTTTTTCTTTCTTTTTTTCTCACGTTTTTTTCTTCTTCTTCTCTCTCTCTCTTTCCTTTCTACTTCTTCTTCCTTCCTTGTTTTTTTTAAATCTTCAAACAAGATAAAAGAAAAATAATAAAATTTTAGAAAAAATTACAAATCATTGTAAATCTGGCAGTTTAGGAGATGGCAGCAGTGTTGGAGGTGATTTTGGAAACTCCACAATAAAGAACTCTTGAATAATTATATCTATCATAAAAAAAATTCCGGTTAGGTGGTTTGGCCAAAAGTGTTGTAAGAGATTTCGCTAGAAGTATCGCCAGAGAATATGCCAGAAATTTCACCCGAGAAGACACCGAAGATGTCGCTGGAGTCGGAAACTTCGTCAGAAATATCCTGGGAGATGTCTTTGACTGTGTCGTCAGAGGTATCACCGAAAATGACGGCGGAGACTCTGTTGAAGTTAGCTTTGAAGACGGTTTTAGTGAATCAGGATGTTTTTCTTCTTCCAGTTGTTGTTCTGGTTTTTTCTCAACAATAAATTGTTGAAACTTTTCTGTGCATTTTCTTTCAGAATCAGAAAACTCTTGTGATGAAGTTTTTAGAGAATAACTCAAATTTTGAATTTGTACCTTCAATTCTTCTCTATATTTGGTTGAGATCTCATGAGTTTCAATCAAATATTGTTTGGAAGTTTTTAGCTGTAGGTTAAATATTTTTGGTTGTGAATTGGAATTTTGAGGTTGTTATTGGTATGAAATGTATGGATCATATGAAGGTGCATATGATTTGTATGGATTAGATGATGTAGTTGGTATGACTGTGTCAATGAAATGATAAGGAGGAATAGAGTGCTGATAAAATGGTGACGGAACACTAACATATGAAGAGATGAAAGAATGATAATATGGATATGTCTAGGAAGGAAGGATTGAAATTCAAGATGAAAGCACCAATTGTTAGGATGCTAAAATAAGAATCCTAACAAACTTAGGAAAGTTGTGAAATTTAAACCATAAAGAAGACAAATAAAACTAAAAGATAATAAAAGATGACATTTGATTTCATTGATACCCTAAGATGTGTCAAAGACACTACATATATAATGCTCATTATGGATAATGAATTAAAACTCCAAATACAACAATAACACAATAACAATACTAATAACTAATAATATAAATTCTAAATTATATTGTACTTCTTTATCACCCTCCCAACCTTATCTTTATGCTTTCCACTCTCTCTCTGACTAACTTGCTGAGTTGATAAGAAGAGTCAACAAAATTCTTTCTCTTTTGAATCTTTATATCTCTTAGAGAAAAGACCTAAATTTCCATTCTAAAATTTCTTATTTCCAAACTTTCCCGTAACATCTAATTCCTTCTCATAATTTCGTAAGTTAAAAAAAAATATTTAGAGAACTTATGAGATATTTATGTTGTAACACTTCTCAATATTAAAATAATTAATCTTTCTTAATTTCTCAAATTAGTCTAGGATCCATTAAATGTAAGACAAAT